CCCCCAACTCCCGTCTCCTCCTCTCCCTCTCCCCCTCCACAACCCTCAACTCCCCCTCCAACTCCCGAATCCTCCTCTCCTGCTCCTCCTCACTACTCCCTATCCCCGGCAACACACTCACCAAATACTCAATCTGCTGCTCCTTGATGACCAAATCTCGAGCCAATTCGCGCTGTCGCGCCGCGAAAGTCTCCGGACTGTCCGGCGCCGGGAGGGCCGGGTCTGTTTCCCCTCCTCCTTCTCCTCCTCCCCCGCCTCCGCCTTCGGTGGCTGCTTGTTGGTTGGGGTTAGGTGTTGTGGGTGGTGGTGCGGGGGAGGTTTGGGATTGGGAGGCTTGGATGGTGGCGGGGACGGGTGGTGTTGATGAGTTTTTGGGGATTTTGGCGAGAGGGGGCGCGGAGAGTGAGGGGGGGAATGTGGGGGGGAGTGTCGTGGGGATGTTGTCGTGGTAGGTCGTTAGGTAGCTTAGGGTTGCGTAGAATTGGGTTGCTAGCTGAGTTGGTTAGTGGGTGGTTGGATGGGGGGAGGGGGGAGGAGATGGGGTACCTGGTCTAGACAGGTTTGGAGTTGGGTGAGGATGTCGGCCATTTTGGTCGTGAGGTGTGTGTGGTGTGGTGGGCTCGGTTAGGGGTAGGTTGTGTTGTGGATTTGATTGTAGGTGGTGATTGTAGATGGTTGTTGTAGAATATAGGCTGTAGATTGTATGTAGGTTGTAGGTGCGCGTAGATTGACAAAGTTGGAGGTTGTGAAGAGCGGAGCGGAGGTGAAGAAGAGCTTAGCTCCGATAACAGCCCCGTTTATTTACTCCGACTTAGCTTCATCTTTTTCTACTTTCCACTACGTACGTCCTCTCCACAATACCACTACCGGCCCTATTTACTCCTACTAACTATTGCTACTACAGACATTATGCCCAACTAACACCACTACATTACTACAATCACCACAATGACATCAATATCCGCCCTCACCCGCCGCCTCTTCAAACTCCCCCTCCCCCCTCCCCCCCCAACCACCAACCACACCACCCTCCCAACCTTCCTCACCCACGCCACCCGCACCGCCCTCCCCCCAACCAGCACCACCTACATCGGCACCCACTACGAATACACCACCCAACGCACCCTCCTCCACTCCGCGCTCCTCCTCCACCGCACCGGCGGCCGCTCCGACTCCGGCCTCGACCTCCTAGGCACCTGGCACTTACCCACGCACGAACACCCGCTCCGCGTCCTCGTCCAATGCAAAGCCCTGAAGACGAAGCTCGGGCCGAATCTGGTCCGCGAACTCGAGGGCACGTTTTCGCAGGCGCCGGTGGGGTGGCGGGGCGGGGGCGTTGTCGGGGTGTTGGTGTCGCCGAGGGAGGCCACGAGGGGGGTGAGGGAGGCGTTGAGTCGGAGTCGGTTTCCGTTGGTGTGGTTTTTGGTGGGCTTGGAGGGGGGTGTGAGGCAGGTTTTGTGGAATGAGCGCGTGGAGGGGCTGGGGGTGGGGGGTTTGGGGGTTAGGGTTGTTTATGGGGGGGATACTGAGGGTGGAGGGGATGGAGGGGATGGGGGAGGGAAAGGGGTGGAGTTGACGTGGGAGGGGGAGGAGGTTCCCGGGATGGAGGACGTCGTGAGTAGGATGGAGGATGTGCAGAGGAGGTGGTTTGGGATGTGGGATGTTGGGGTGGAGAGGTATGAGGAGGTGGTTGGGGTCGTGGAACGGTTGTTTCCCGAGGAGAAGCCGTTGTTGTATGCGGCAGATGGGAGGGTGAGTGGGTTGAGTGGTGAGGAGAGGGAGATTGTGAGGAGATGTTTGCAGGGTGCCGATATCGAGCAGGAGAGAGCTAGGATGAGATCTACTGAATAGGATGGTAAGACTGAAAAATGTATTATCCTGGGTATCCCGTAACGCCAATCCAAAACCTATCCCTGCATGGTAGTCCAAAAGTAGTTGGAGTAGAAAAACCGCGAGAACTTCGGGTCGATGTTCACGACATGCACATCGCCCTTGCGACTATTGCGAATCACCGCTTTGTTGAAGTTGCCCGCCTCGTCCGCCTCAATGTCCACTCCGAGCGATCGGTAGATTTTTAATCGTAGCCTACACCGTTAGCAGCATCCTGGCAGACTTCAGAGGAATACTCACAGCGTGGCATCGTCCAGCTCGCGCTCCCGGCGCGTTGGCTCGTCGCCCTCCAACCCCTGCGCTTCCAGATCCGCCAACCGCTCCTTGAGCATCTCCAGCTCGCCCTCCAGTCGTTCGCTCTCAATCTCCAGTTCGGTGGCCGCCTTGGCAATCCGGAACTTCTTCGTGTCCAGCTCGACAATCTCGGCCGCGTGCTTGCCCGAGTCGTGCGCCGAGACAGCCTCCTCGTGCTGGGCATTCAGCGCCGACAGATGACGCGACAGCTTGCGCAGAGCGGATTCGGCCTCGCGCATGCGCAGTTCACGCGATTGCTGCAAAGCCGCGAGCGAGTCATTGATGCGGGTGACGGCCTGTTTATCGGGTTGGATGTTGAAGTTGCCGATGGTGTGGTTGATGAGCTGTAACCAGATATTAGATTAGCAGGTTAGCACAAGAAGTAGGAAGCAGAAACATACCCCGGCGGGGTTTTCGTCGAGAATCATGGCGACGGTTTGTTGTACGTTGTTAGCCAATGCTGTCGAGAGTGGTGTCCACTGTAGGATTGTTATCGTTGTTGGTGGAGCAACCGCCACCGCCCGCACCGCCACAGCGGGTGACGACAAGCTCGCCGCTCTTCATTCTCGCTGCCTTCAGCACACTTCACATCAACTCATCAACATGGGCTCCAACCTTCCCTGTAGGTCTTCTTCTTCCTATTGTTAATCTCGCTAACCATCGCAGATGCCGCCGATGCCGAGAGGTATGCTTTTTGACGAATCCTGTCGACGCCGCTAACCCGCCTAGCCCGCTGAAACCAGCGGAACTCCAGGTCCTTCGTTCCCAGTATGAGAAAGAAGGCGACTATGTCGGCATCCAGACCAAGTTCAACTATGCCTGGGTAGGTTGATTGCTTCTGATGAAGAGCGTTACTGACCATACAGGGTCTGATCAAATCCGACGCCCGGGCCGAGCAACAAGAGGGTGTCCGTCTGCTGTCAGAGATCTTCCGTGCCGCACCCGAACGACGTCGTGAATGCCTGTACTACCTTGCGCTGGGCAACTACAAGCTGGGGAACTACGGCGAGGCCCGTCGGTACAACGACCTGCTGCGCGAGAAGGAGCCGGCCAACCTGCAGGCAGCCAGTCTGGGACAGCTGATCGATGAGAAAGTGTCCAAGGAGGGCCTGATGGGCATTGCCATCGTCGGTGGACTAGCCCTGGCCGCGGGCGTGGTCGGTGGACTGGTGATGCGGGGGGCAAAGAGACGCTAGCGGCTTCCTTTGTTAACGGTGCATGATGTAAATAGTTCCTTGGCTGTGTTGGTTGCTGTGTTCCGTTTAGCATTATGGCGTTTGATGATGCGGCAGATTGGATGTGCTAATATTAATGGAGGATTCTGTACATGGAATCCAGTGGCATCGCATGGATGATGTAGAGCGGGGGGATTTCCGACGAGGCTTGGTCGGTTCTGTGTCAGGTTGGCTGCAAGCCGGAATTTGCCTTTGACGGGGACCTTTCCTGCAGATAATCTCCGCGACGCAGTTCTCCGTCGAATCCCTCTGGAAGTTCTTGCCCCCGTGATACTGGCTGGGATTTGGGTATAAGATGGAGAACGTGCAGCTGCGCCACAGGTTGCTAACGTCATCCCGATTCACCCTGCTTTCTTCACAGTCACGCATCAGTTTCCCCTCTGCTCTTGCTCTTTCCTCCCTCATCCACATCCAAATCACTTTCACCTTTCCATCCACTCCTCTTCTTGCCTCCTGTGACACTGCATTCTCGCATGGTGACGAATGCGTGCCCAACGAGCCATGAACGACGCTGCATCAAGCTCTGGCATCTCCTCGGCCTGATTGATTCGCCCGATCTCGATTCCTGCACGACCGTCTGACATAGTAGTTTCGACCCCTCCTCTTCCGTCTTTCCTCATCACCCTCGGTTGCCTCCCCGATCGCCATGGCCGACGCCGGAGACCGCATGTTCTGCCACGCCTGTGGTGGCGTGTGGCTGCGCAACGCTGATGATATGGTCTGTCCGCACTGCGAGTCGGACTTTACCGAGATCGTATGCCTCTCTTTCTCAGGCGACCAGCAGATCCTAACCCTTTAGATTGAAATACCCCCCGATCCTGACGCCGACCTCCCGCCCGACCGATCCCCCTCGGCCCCCGCCCCGGCCAGCGCCCGCCCGAATCCCTGGGCCGATCACAACCCCTGGGCACATCAAGAAGAAGACGATGACCTCGATCACGGCTGGGGATCGGGAGCTGGAACGGGACCGGGAAATGGAAATGGGAACGGATTCACCCACCGCACATACCGCTCCCCGGACGGTCGGTTCACCTTCTCGACGACCACCTATACCCACGGCTTCCCGCGCCGGTCGCCTCCCAGTCAGCAACCTGTGAACGACCCGTTGATGCCAGTGATGCAAGGGCTGGGCAGCATTTTCAACGGACTGGCGGGCACCTACCGACAGCAAAATGCCCCGGGATCGTCGTCCAACCAACCCCAGACCCCAGACCGCGACCGGGGGCGGACCCTGGGGTCGTTCGAGTTCGACATCGAGGCCGATGGCCGGGCTGGGAGGCAAGAGGGCCTGCATCCCCGGGATGCGGATGGCCCGCAACCGATGAACAATCCGCTGCGCACACTGAGCGAGTAAGTGTATCACTCTATTGCATGTATAGGCTAACAAGTGTAGTATTCTGGAGCTGTTCCGATCGGATTTCGGCACGAATACGCAGGCAGGCGGCAGTGGCGTGCGGGTGGTGGGCGGTCCGAATCCGTTGGCCATGCTATCGACATTACTCAACTTTGATCGCCACGGCGATGCGGTATATTCGCAGGAGGAACTGGACCGGGTGATCTCGCAGCTGATCGAGCAGAATGCCAACCGAGGGGCGCCACCGCCGGCCCCGGCCACCGCGATCCAGTCACTGCCAAAGAAGAAGGTAGATGCGGAGATGCTGGGGAGCGAAGGCCGGGCGGAGTGTTCGATTTGCATGGACACGGTGGACCTGGGGACAGAGGTGACGATACTGCCGTGCAAGCACTGGTTCCACTATCACTGCATCGAGTTGTGGCTGAACCAGCACAACACATGTCCACATTGTCGGCGGAGCATTGATGCCAGCCAGTGAGTGCCTGCCTGTTATGCTTGTTGCTGTACCTAACTGTATCAGATCCGAAGTTGGACCCGAATCCAGGCACGAGGAACCCGAGGGCACAAGAAACAACCCGACCGTGATCCCAGACAGCCCGGAGCCAGCTCCACGACGGTCGAGCGGTGGGGAGAATGGACCGAGCCAGACGCATGGGGCACAGTCACCGTCGGGGTGGAGTTCGCAATCGTTTTCATCGTGGTCATCACCGTGGTCGGGGTCCGAGGAGCCACGGCGAAGCAGTCGGGAGGGATCCGGGGTAGCAGCATGGTTACGCAGTCGCTTAGGAGGAGGAAGCAGTTGATGCAGCGGACGAAGATTGCCATGACGAGGTGTATGTAGTGACGAACTGCTATGAAGACATGAGGATATGACTGAGCGGCCTATGACTTATCTTTTCTCGTTCTTTGCTATATGACCTAGACTGATTGAAGCCATGACCAACACCCATGTATATGCAGCCTCCAGAAGTGCAGCTGTGATGCCCTATCATACACTGATACACATATCCCCTTCTAAGACCGACTTTATTCTAATTAATGAACCCAAATCATACTATACCTACCTACTTACACCAATTCAATCTAATCTAATCTAATCAGAAGACGACGGGTAGATGAATGACCGTTAACCCTAACACACTACCTACCTACCTACCTACACATACAGACAGCACAGAGAGATACACAGATCATCAATAGTTGAGTCCGATATCAGATAGCAGTCGTACGATGTAGAGTATAGTATTTGAGCTTATCTAGATCTGAACAGTAACCGGACCTAGGCATTTACTAGTCTGGGTTCACGTAGCGGAATAATTCCATACCACTAGGTAGTAAGGCTCCTCACTCCACGCCTACGGATCTTCATCTTACCTAGTCTAGTACTCTGTGCACGTAGATCTCTCTACTCATGAAGATCAGAAAACAGTAACCCCAGCCCCAAGACTTAACATGACTCAATTCCAATATCAATCCCAACATCAATCTCAATATATCAACATCCCTATCTACACAACCCAACCTACCGAATCGGCAAATCCGTAGCAACAACAGGAGTCGGAAACTCCCTCCCCACTCTCCCCAACAACTCCTTCAACACACCCCCCACCCACTCAAAATCCTTCAATTCCAAATACACCTGCCCACTCAACCTCGTCCACAACCACCCCCGATACACGAAAACCGGCACAAACGTCTTATACTCCTCCATGAGCTTCCCCTGAATCCACGCCGCGACTTGTCCCGCCAGCACGCGGGGCAGAGGGGCATATAAACTACCCCCGGTGCCAGGGGCAGTCCAGTCCATTTCCCCTCCGCTTTGATCGGTAGCAGTTTGGATCGCGATGGGTAAGCGGACGTTATTCAGCGCACAAGCACGCAGGAGACTCTTCTCCCCGGCTTTGAGATCGGGTTCTTGGAGGACTTCCGTGTCGAGGATCCCGGCGACGAGGTCCGCCGCTTGGTTCGCGAGCGTCTCGAGGTAGTCGTAGATACGGTCTTCGCCGCCACAGACCTCCTTTCGGAAGGTGAGGGCCGCGGGGACGCAGTGGTAGGGCGTGTCGTCGTTGGTGGCGGTGGATTGGAAGAGGGTGCGGAATGCGAGGGCGGTGGTTTCGGGGTCGGGGGTTGCTACTGTTTCTGCTGATTCAATGGAGGGAGTGGTCTTGATGTAGCCCCATGATGTGGGCAGGGTGGTACGGAGGAGATGTTGGTGTTCGGGCGCGACGTAGAGGACGGCGCAGCCGCGGGGGACGTAGAGCCATCTATTCACATCATTATCATCATTAGCATATTGTCCAAGAAAGAGGGTTATATGGGCAATGGTATGAGGAGGGGAGGGCATACTTATGCAAATTACTCCCCCAAAAGTCCGGCTTCACCTTGCCCAAATCCACCTCAAACATACCCACCGCATGCGCGCCATCGACGACACTCAAGACACCTAACTCACGACACGTCTCGACCAATGTCTCCCACGGGAACCGAACCCCCGGCATCGACACCACCGTATCAAACACCGCCGCCTTAACATTCAATCCCTCCTCCTTGCGCACCTTGTCCACGAGGTCCCGGAACCGTCGCACGATCTCCTCATGCGTCGTGGGGAGATCATACTCCACCTTGCGCAACTTCACGGGGGCGCGCTCCGCCAGGGAGAACAGACCGTATTCGACGGCCCCGTAGACGGTATCGAAGTAGATGATGACATCGGAGGCCGTGAAGGGGAGGTTATGCAGGACGGTCGCGACGGCGGTGGTGGCGTTCTTGGTGAAGGCGAGGGTGGAGGCGGGGACGTTAAGGAGGGCGGAGAGCTGCGTGAGGGATTCGGCGCTCAGGGCGGGCGAGGTCTGCCGGATGAACAGGTCGGGACGCGATTCGGCGAGCGTTTGGTGGGCTTGGAGGGCGGTCCGGATGGGGAGGGGGTAGGTGCCGTAGGATCCTATTGCATTGGTCTGTTAGTTGTGGTGATGGTGGTGGTGGTGGTGGAGGGGGACTTGCCGTGGTTGAGATTCTTCCATTCGGGATCGAGGCAGAACTGCTCGCGCATGGCAGCCCCAAAGGGCACCGGCGTAAAAGTGGAAGTGGAAGTGGACGACATGGTGGTTTCCTGTGCTGGAATGATGAGAAGCGAGGGAGAGACTATTTAACCTCCTCGTGAGTCACGGTCGTGAGTCAGATGCTGGTCAAGCATAGGGCGTGCTTCGAGGCCATCTGGAGCCCATCCGAGAAGCCTATTTTTACCTCGGCGCCGAGAACCTCTCACGAAAAGCCTTATCAATTCGAGTATTCGAGTGATGGATGACCCAATTCCTCTCGGCTCGAATTACACAAGCTGCACTCCGGCTGCTCCGGTCCGCTGCTATTTATGGAGCATCTACCGGCATGGGACACAGTGCACAATCAGCACTAGCCAGAATCATTGGCTAACTATCTAAATCCAAAGACAACATCAACGCTACTCAACCTCACCGCTTCCCCTTCTTCCGCGGAGCCACCACCTTAAAGGCCGTGTTGCTATTGTCCTCCTCCCGGTGCGCATTCGACGACCCCTTCTTCGCCACCTCACTCCATCCCCCCGTGTTCTTCTCCGCAAACGCACTCGCCGACACCGGGTCAACAATCCCCTTGTCCGCCAGCTTGCGCCGCCGGATGAACTCCTCCGCGAACCGCCGTCCGTCCAACGTCTGCGAGTTGGCATACACCGAGTCCGAGATGATCTCCGCCTCCGCCGGCAGGAACAACAGCTGCTGCACAAAGTCATCCACGTTGATGTTGCTGTTCAGTCCCTTGCCCAGCGCAAGCTTGGCCCACTTGGTGAACTCCTCCACCGCCCGGTTCGGGTTCGCTGGCGGCGTGGCCACCGTCACCGTCCGGGGCGTCGCAACAGTAGCCGGCTTGGGCTTCACAGGAGACACGGCAACCGGAGTCGCGCTGCTCGTCGACCGCGGCCCCGAAGGTGCAACCGGCGGAGGCTTGGGCTTTCCGCCCGCACCCACCGTGGTCCACGCGCCCGAGGTGCTCGCACTCGCGCTCACGGGAGACGCCGCCGGAGCCTTGCTGGCGAGATCTGCATACCGCTTGCCGGTCGACGAGGGGGCCGCCGGGGGACTGGCAGCAGCATTCTGCGCAGCAGCCGCAGCAGCCGCCGCAGCCAGGCGATGCTTACGAGCTTCCTCTTCCTTCTGAATCTGGGCGAGAGTCTTCTTGGCCGCCGTACCAGTGGGAGCAGTCTGGCCCTTATTGTTCCAGACCGAGCCAGAGGACGTGGGCGTGGCCGGGGAGCCAGCGCTGGCCCAGTTGGCAGTCGACGGGAGGCCCGGGGCCTGGGCCTGGACCTGGCTGAGACGCTCCTGCTCGGCCAGCAGCTGGGCTCGGCGCGCGGCAGCCGCCAACTCTTCCTTCTGCGCAGCGCTGCGAGCCTCGGCTTCTTGGATCTCCTTCAGGGAGGGCCCCTTGGGCACCTCATTCGCTTCCTTCGCCCACGGCGCGATCGAGGTAGTCGGGGCTTCAACGGGAGTCTGGGTCTGGGACCGCGAGTTGGCAGCCAGAGACTCGGCGACGTTCTGGCGGTTGCGCTGGGCGGCCGGAGCGGGGAGCGGGGATGCAGAGGGCGGGGGAGGGAAGGGCTGGGGCATGGCACTATCGCCCTTGACACTCCAGGGCGTATCGCTGGGTTCGGGGGACTGCTGCTCAAGCTGCTCGCGCTGCAACTGCTCTTGTTGTTCCTGCTGTTCCTGCTGCTTACGCTGGGCGGAGGCGGCTTTTTGCACCTGCTGCGACAGGGTGAGGGTATGCTGTTCCTCTTCAATTTCTTCCTCGACTTCTTCCGGCTCCTCCGGCTGGATGGTCGTGGCCGGGTGCGTGGGCAGACCCTCGGCAGTCCGCAGGCCTAGCTCACCCTCCTGAGCTCGCAGAGCATGGAACTGGCGCAGCCGCTCTTCGCGCGCCTGCTGGTCGAACAGGCTGTCGCCCTGCGCGCTGTCAAACTGCTCTTGTTCCTGCTGCAAGCGAGCCCGATCCTGAAGCATGCTGGCAACCTGCTGCTGATGAAACAAACTGTCGGGCTGGCGAGCCGCGAAAGAGCTGGGGGTACCGAAGGCAAACGGATCCGGTCGGCTCACGTTCAGGCGATCGAGAAGGGCCGGGAGTTGGTCCTGGCTGTTGACCAGATCCGTGCCGAGCACCTGGGGGCCCACATTTTGCAGCGGGTTCCGCACCGGCGCGGCCGCATCGAAGAAGCCGGCGACGGACTGGGGCTGCTGCATCGGAGCTTGGATGGGGGAAGGCTGGAAGCCGATCGGCGAGGCAATGCTGCCAAAGCTGGGCTGGCTGTGGAGACTGTGCGCACTGGAATGATGCTGCAGCTGGTGCGGGTGCATCGTGTGCGGGACGCCCTGGAACTGCATTTGCTTCATCAGGGCTTGCTGCTGAGCGAGATGCTCCTTCTGGCGCGCCATCAGATACTGCTCCTCCTGCTTTCGGCGCTCCAGCGCATTCTGCTGTTCAGCGGTCAGGGTGGTTCCGAAGCTGGGGAAGCTGCCCGGGAACGGAGGCTGAGCCGTGCCGGACGTGTTGCCAGTCCATGGGCCGGGGCTGGGGTCAGGTCCGTGAGGGATCCCGATCTGAGGCACCAGGAAGGGTTCGCGCGAGTTGCCGATGCGTCGCACCAGCTGCGCCAGCGGCTCGAACTCCGGGTCCTCCAGCTTCTTGATCTGCAGGTCGGGGCTGAAGAAGCCCGCCTTGAACCAATCATGCATCTCGAGTCCGGTCCAAGGGCCCTGGATGTTGCCCTGCGGGTCACGGTAGATCCAGCGCATCCGGTCCGGCATCACCATGGTCCGTTGCTGAGCTGGAGGCACGGACCCAGCGCCGACTTGGCCAGGGGTCTGGCTCGGCGGGGGTACCTCGGGTGCCATGGACGTTGACATGGATCCCACAGCAGACACCGGGTCGGGCGAAGCCGAGGTAGTGGCGGGCTGGCTGGTCTGGCCTGGCTTGTCGGTTTGTTGGTGGTCTGCTCGAAGTGTTAGCGGGACGCGCGGTAGCGCTTCGTCAGGGTGCTTACCGGGTTGGCGAGAGCCATCATCGAGAGTGCCCAGGTCTGGCCGTCCTTGTTCAGCTTGCATTTGCTCCTGCATGGCGGCCGGGAAGAGAGATCCTAATTTGCTGGAGCGGCCAAGGCTGCCGGTGCCCGACATGCCAGCATGAGGACTGAACAACCCGCTGCCTCCCAAGGTCGACAAGCTCGGCGATTGCAAATCGCCCATGGTGCCGAAGATGGGATCGCCAAAGCCACCGGCAAAGGCCGAGCGCTCCCTCGTAGGCGTACCCACGGCAGCGCTGGAGGGCCATCCCGCCGCACCACCCAGCGAGGAAAGTCCACCCAAGCCACCAAGGCTGGAGAAGCTGCGGTTGCCGGCGGCACTGGAGGTCTGACTCCGGTCGATCGAAGGCAAGTCCATACCCGATCCTACCCGTCGGATGGAACCAAACGCGGACGAGGTGTCGCGAAGGCCAGAGATGCCAGGATGAGTGGTATTCTGGATGTCGGACCCATCGGTGTCGACGTCATCGTCGCCACCACCACCTCCTCCAGTTCGGTCCCCGTGGGGACTCTGGTAGGGGTTCGTGTTGGTCGGGCTGGTGGGTTCGTGTCCCTGCAGGAGACTCGGGGTAGGGTTACGCGAATTTTCGTGGCTCTGCATCAATTCTCGGAACCCAGGGATGCTGGAAGTCATACCAAAGGCCGCAAAGCCCAGCTGGTCCGCGGCCTGAGAGGGAGTGCTGATGTCTTGGGACCCTCCGAGCGCGGCACTTCCACTGCGAGGCTCTTCCGAGAACGGATTCGTCTCACTGCGACCAGTGCGCGTCTTCACGGGCTCGCCCCAAGGCGACTGGGCGCGCTTCTCGCCCTCAGCCTCCCCCAGGCGTTCCAAGCTGCTGAGGGACGGCTTTTCCTTGATCGCGGCAGACATGTCCTCGGAACTATCCTTCGAGAACAACCCCTTCAGGCGGCTCTCTCCGCGGAGACTACCGAACCCAGCCTTCTTCTCGGTCGTTGGGGTGGTGGCCGTACCCAAAGAGAACGCGCCAAAAGCTCCCATGGGCGAGAAGCTGGCATTTTGCGATGCAGATCCCCACGGAGAGTTCGAGGCGCCGGGGGCCACGTTCAACGGATTGGTCGAACTCCGCTTCAAGGAACCAAATGGAGATGCGACCTCGGCGCCCACCTCTCGGCCCACGTTTTCTTTCTCCTTCTCTTCCCATCGAGCAGCGGAGGATGCGTCCCGGAAATCAGTCTTGCGACGCAACAAAGACGGAGGCGGGGTGGAGGTGTTCGTTTCGTCACGGAAAAAGCGGGAGCCGCTGGTGGTGGGAGACATGGGATTGCCAGTCGAATCGCCCGTCTCCCGACGTCTCGGGCCAGGGCGCCCAGTACTGGGGGATGCGGTGTTGTAGTTATTCATATGGCCCTGGGAGATGGACAGCTTGCGACCTCCGGTCCCCGCAGTAGCGTTCTCCTTCGAAGCATTCGTGGGTGGCGGCTTGAGGGGGGAGTTGACGGAGAGAGTAAATAACTGCGCCCTTCAGCACGTGTCCCGATCAAAAAATAAAACAGAACACGCTCAAGCAGCAAGCAAGGCGGGGTAAACAAAGAGACAAACCTCTTTCTCATCGTCCGTCAGATCGACCAGTCCCAACGGCTCGCTCTGGCCCCCATGATCCCAGCACACTTCCGGACCGGAGGGGTTATCCTTCGAGTCTTCCCGTTTCCCCCATGCTCCGTTCACGGGCGATGTCTCGTGAGGATTCCAGTCGGCGACGAAGTAATCTGCAACGTTCTTCCCCAAGATGCCGGACTCTCGTTGGTTTTTGTAAAGGCTGAGCAGCTGGTCCTTGGAATAACGCGTGTCGGTGGCCGCTCCGTTGCGTAGTGCGCTGGCTGGATAGGTGGAGGACATATGCGGAGGAGTGTAGGTGCCCACGGTAGGAGTGGTAGCCGATGTGGGCTGGCTGGCATCCCGGTTGTGAGAAGGGTTTGTCGCAACGGACGGACGGCGGAAAGTCTGTGTTGCTCCATTCATGCGAGTTCGAGACCTGCAGTCCCCGTCGGGGATGAGTTGTCAGTTACTCCGCCACGCAAAACCCGGGGGAGGACAAGACGACGTCGACAGTCACGGCCAAACCGCGTAGAACCCATCAACAGAGCATTGCATACCATTCTCCACCGGCAGAGCCATCACCTCTCCTGGTCGAAGAGTCGTGGGCGTTGCCAGCGGCGGCCGAGGCAAAACTAGACGGAAGTGGCGTGGGCATTATGAAGATCGAGGAAGCGGACAAAGATTGCCGGTCGAGTTGGAGGGGAAAGATACACTCGGGGCGAGATCTGGAAAGCTAAGTTATGGTCGTGGCTTGGGAAAACGAAGGGAGCGATGCGAACGTTTTTTTTGGGGGGGGAAGGGTGGGTTGAAGACAGCAGAGTCCGCAGAAGAGCTGGGGGAGGAGATCGGATCAGCGAGGGGGAGAGAGGGCCACAGGGTGGGCAGACACGCGACGATCCGGAGCAGAGAAACGCACCTTGGTGTCTGATGGGAGTGAGGTCTTGGAAGAGCAGTTGGGGAGGATTGAGAGTCAAGGTCGAAAACAAGAACGCTAGACGATCCAGGTCGAGATCAGAAGATCGAAAGGATCGAGAGTTCCTGGCAGGTCAAGAAAAATGAAGAGGCTTGCGGCGAATTAGCTGGAGGCCGTGGAATTACCACCGTACCGGGCGTGACAAGAGTCGTTTGCAGCCTGGTCGTACAGCCAGCAAGTCCGTCGTCTTGTGTAATCCACTGGATGTTCTTTCCTTAAGTATATTACCTCAGCCCACAACTCGACTTGGGGGGGGTCCCCGGCCACCGCACAAATCACCTCGGCCAGGACCTCTTCCAGCTCCCAGCATCCTCAAACGAGGGTGATCGGGGCCTTACATCTACGATCCGGTGCACCCTGCCCATCGCAATCCTTTACCAGGTGACAGGTCAGATTGGACCCGGAAATCGACAGAGGTCCAGAATGAAGGCGAGGTGCATTTCCGGGACGGTGCGTGGCGCCAACATCCCCAGACAAACCTACGGCGGGTTACTGCCACGCCGCGGCCGTCACTGGTGGTTTGGCCGCAAACGCTTCGGTTCCTCTCGACGTGTCGCTTCACCAATGCCCCAGAGTGAATATTTAATTCTCTAACAGTCTCAGAAACTCGGGATAGCTCCCTTCTCGGGTATTTTTAGAATGTCAAATTGAGGGTGTATATCCGTGATAGCCGTGATAGTCGAGTCTCTTTGGACAATATCCTCGAACCACCTGTGCGCAGTAGTAGGTAGTAGATACTACTACATCCTACTTACCAGGTAGGCAGGGCCATTTCCAGGCAAATGCAAAATGTAAGGCATCATCGCGGGCAATTGTGGGTGTCGTCACTCGTCCGAGCTCTGAAGAATACTACCTCCATACCAGCCCCATACATACCATACGGGAGACGTACATGCCAGGTACTCTGTACCGTACCCCAGCCTCCAGTGTGCCTCAGGCACGTATGATCACAGCTTGCGCATCCAAACAGTTGATCTACTCCAGATGGAGTACAACGACTGTTTACTCCTCTACTTCTGTAAATACCATGTCAGTCATCAGAGACATGTTTGTCCATCCATCGGTTTCTCGTGCAACTTTTTCCCGGGATCCCCATGATGAAACACGATGTCCGATATCACGCCATTCGCAGATTTGACTCCACTTTGGTCAACGCTGCGATCGAATCTGATACATAAGATCTTTTTGTCGGACGTGGATGAGAAGTGAAGCTCAATTCAACTCAATCGGTTTGGAAATGTTGTGTCGTAGTCGCGCGAACACATACTCTATACGGCCATGACCGCATTCCGAACGGACGCGACAACCAGAACCCCTGGGTTTGCCATTCCGGTACGGAGTACACTGGACTGGGTCGGATTCCGTGTCATTGAATACTGCTGATCAGGCAGTAGATAGCTGTCTTCGTTGAAGACAGATGATAATTGGAAGAGGAAGTATTCAACTACCATCGATGGTATCATGCTTGGAAACACGCAGGATCAGCAGAGTTTCAACATCTAGGAATGCATATCCTTGATATCTGAATCCAGGAAGACATTAATTCATCTCACATAGCATCGTACTTATCATGGAATGACAAACGGCTGTCATCGAGGGAGTTCACCCGTGTCCACAGTCTTCAATGACTGAATCTCGACGACATTGTCTTCTCTCTGCTAACATCATTGGCATACTTCTCACGAGTTGTGCTTCCTGTAATAGAGACAAATGGTCATTTGAACTCCTCATCAGGCTCACATGCCCACAACGTAGTCGAGATAAGACCAGGACAGAGGGATCGGTACCCAGAAGAATGATATAGACCTGACAAAACAATGTCTGGGAATTCGTCAGCTTGCGTCCTGGAGGGTCTATATCAAAGCTGCCGTAGACGCTATGCTTACCTCATGTAATGCTCACCCTCGCAGGTCAAGCTGCGCTGAGTTGATCGCTGGAGTCGTCTTGTATGCAGTAAATCCGTTATATAAGTCATTTGGTATAGTACTTTTATGATTCGTTGAGGATCGTAAGTAGGCTGAGCTATGTTCTCAGGTCTAGTATTGTCTTTGTGAGGTCTGAGCAGATCTGTTGGTGATGAGCAGGGATGCTTGAATGGTGATTATTTATCCTCTGCCGAGGTTGAGATGGGATGACAGGGACGTGCGTAGTCGATCATTATAAAACGGAGACAGTGGCGTAAAGAAGACGATATTAGAGTACTCTTATTTCTACGCTTCTGTTCCAAGTTTATACTATGCCAGTGTCTACATACAATCATTCTTGCTGATCATCACCGCAAACATCAAGCCATTGAACCGCACATCCTCGGCAACCGATAACGGCCCAACATCCCCGCACGCCAACCGATAAGTGTTCGCATTTATCCCTTATGCGCCTCCTTTCTACCAACACCGGAAGAACAGTACTTAGATAGACAAGACATACATCAACATGTCCAGAGCAATCTTCATCACACCCATCGACGGCAAGCCCGGAAAACCTGGCCAAGTCTACTACCCCCTCACCGTGCAGACCCTCCCTCAACCCACCCCTCAAGGCCGGGAAGTTCTTGTGAAGCTCTCCGCCGCATCCCTGAACCATCGTGATGTGTTCCTTCGTCAACATCTCTACCCTGGGGTCACCTTTGATGTACCCATGGGTGCCGACGGGACGGGAACTGTCATTGCCGCCGGCGAAGCGGTGCGCGATCCGCAGCGCTGGATCGGGAAGCGGGTGGTCCTCAACCCTGGGATAGGATGGAAGGACTCTATCGATGGACCAGAGGATCCGAAAGGGTACCGGATTTTGGGCGGGACCAAGCTATACAACAAAGGGACGATACAGGAGTTTTTGGCTATCGACGAGGAGGAGCTGGAAGAGGTGCCGGAGCATCTGTCAGATGCCGAGGCAGCATCATTACCGGTTACTGCCTTGACAGCATGGAGGGCGCTGATCAAAGCTGGGGAGAGGAATACGACCAAGGGGGCTGCCGTGCTGCTGACCGGAATCGGGGGCGGCGTGGCCCTGATGGCGCTGAAGCTCGCTGTGGCCAGGGGAGCAGATGTATATGTGACCAGCTCGAGCGAGGAGAAAATCCAGAAGGCAATTGAGCTGGGGGCCAAGGGGGGAGTGAGTTATAAGGAGGACAAGTGGGATCAGAAGTTACTGGGCATGTTGCCTACGGGGAAAGGGGCCTTTGATGCGATTATTGACGGGGCTGGAGGCGATTCCGTGGATAAAGCCGTCAAGCTGCTCAAGGTGAGCTCTGCCTCTGCTTCCCCGGTATGTGTGATAGCTGACTGTATAGGCTGGTGGCGTTCTTTGCGTGTATGGGATGACGGTCGCGCCGCAGATGCCCTTTTCCATGAAGGCAGTGCTGAAGAACATCGATGTCCGTGGCTGTACAATGGGCTCGCGCAAGGAGTTCAAAGAGGTGATCGAATTTGTCAAGACGCATAAGATCCATCCGGTGGTTTCGCGCGTTCTGCAGACCGACCTGGGGGATATCCCAGCGATCGACGGGATTTTCCAGGATATGAAGGACGGAAAGCAGTTTGGGAAGTTGGTGATCGAGTTCGGGAAGGCGTCTGGAAGTAAGCTGTGATCTGGAGATCGCTGACGGTTAGCCATTGTCTTAGGAGTCTGTAAGCGTGTATATTACGACGCGAGAAATCATCGAGATGGAAGTACTTTCCCAAGCGCAAGTAGTGAAGCGCTCCTGCCCTGTACCAGACATCTCTAGTATTCTCCATGTCGTGTTCCTTCCTGTATCCAACTCACAACAGCCTCTGGTATCATCGTCGCCACTCCTTAGCCTTTAGCCAACAGCACGGTTATCGTTTTATACCAAGGATAGTTGAACCACTCATTGTTTGTTAGATTAGTGCATCTTGCATCATGGATCTTGATATCATCCAGACATATGGACCCGGAATGTCCTTCTATCGGTCGCAGATAAAATTGTCGTCTTCGGATGAGAATGGCAAGGCTGCCAGAGCGACAGTATCATCGCTATCGGTGTGTCACCAGCAACCCGGGAATCGGCAACGGAATACAAGGGTTGAGTAGGACCAACGCTAATGCCGTGTAGAGATACTCCTCGGCCCTCCAATTGTTGCAGACCAGCAACCAGAATTTGGACCATAAACTGAGCCGGTTGCGCTCCAACGTCATTAAGCTGAATGTTGATTTGGGCAAGCTTCAACATCACGTCAAGGCGTTTCACAACGAACTCCTAACCACATGGCAAGCTGACACGCTTACCCGACTGGTCGAAGTCATCTACGAGCGACAGGGGTGGAAGCTCCCCGGAGGTGTTGCAGTAGGCGATCATATCCACCTTGGCCGGGAGAGACAGACACGAATCATGTCCACGGCCGCGAGAAGGATCAGAAAGTCAATCCTAAAAAAGAATTTTGGACTCTCCGGGCGGTACTACTCGGCTCTACAGCGATACACCGAAGTGAGTTGAACCGCTTGATGGCTGACCGAGTGCGTCTCTGATGTCAGCAGATTGTGCACATGCGCAGTACGAATTCTTTCCGGACCGAATGCACCTTTGCTCGAAGATTAGTGTCAGAAAAGGAGAATCACTGGGGCATGTATCGATTTTGGGGGACACTATTTCCCCTGTGCTATAGTCGGTCGGTGGAGGAGAGCGCCGAGATATTCTGATATTATTCCTGTGGCTAAAGAAGACTTTTCTCCGTTCAGGGTGTGTCCTGATTGCCGGGATTTATCTCCAGGATAGATAGGATTGAATGGAATCTCGGTCAAGTCCCACCAGCGTGCAGCAGCCGTGGCGGGTTGAGTGAGACATGCTACCAAAACCGGGAGCACTATCTCCAACCCAGGCGTGTGGTGTTGTCACTGGTCCTATTTCTGGCAACGACCCATAGGGAATCCAGTAACACTTGCTAGTTTGCAGAGCCGGTACTGGCCTCGCTATCTCTGACTGGCCATGTTTCTGGTATTTTTGACCAGCGCAAAGGACCTGCAGGCGATGGTCTGGTTGGATGGTGTCTGCCGTGCGGATGCAGGATAGGCTTTAGACAGCACGAGTCGAATCAGGGTGATGCTATACCATGCCCCTCTTGGTGACTACTCCGTTCCTAGTTGTCTATTGATCACACGTTAGCCTAGATCCAACTCGAAACAGGTTTGGTGAAATGACAATCGTCCTGGTAATCAAGATTGCTATCTCACCGTTCCATTCATTTCCTTCGTTTGATGAGATTAAGACATGATGTTACAGACAGAGCGTCTGGATTCAAGTTGATTGGATTGCTGGCGGTAGCCAATTTGTGGACTGGTGGACTGGTGGATGGAGGAAGTCTGTTTCCGGGCTGATGTCAGAGGATGAATGCGCTGCACCGTGCTGCATGACTGCTCCGGACTAATCAGCTGACTGGATGGCTTTCAGGTCAGGTGAGGTAAGGTGAGGCGGGTGGCTTCATGCATTGATGGTTTGGTAGGTAGGTCGGTAGGTACTTCATTCTTCATGGGCTATTTTTGTCTTTGGGGTGTGTGCGTTTCTCTCTCTCTCTCTCTCTCTCTCTCTCTCTCTCTCTCTTCCTCTGTGTGTGTATGTAGGTGTGTGGTGGAGGGGGTCATGGGGTTACTTACCTACTTGTTTGTTTCCCTGGCTTGCTCGTTTGCATTTCGTGACCAAAGGCCATGCTGCACTGGTATTTAGTGGGGGAGGAAAGGATAGCATGTTTCGGAAAGGCTACATCCACGATAACGATCACGAACCCGATGCTCCGTAGGATATGATCTGCTCTGTTCTGATCTGCTAGGATTCAAATCCCGATTCTGATTGCGGTTCCGATCCTAATGATGAGCTGATCACGCACACGCAAATACCTACCCCCTAAAAATCAAACGAAGATCATAAATAATGAATACCGGTGTCTGTAATCCAGTCTTTGAGGTAAAGCATAAACAGTACTAGAGATCTGAGTACGAAGCACGGAGTAAATCAGGTAAATTATGTTGGTGGCGGCCAAATAGGGGTTAACAGGCTACTAGTACTCCGTAATAACTCTATATATTTGGGTAGTTTGTCATAGCACTGTGTCATTATACGGTGGTGTGGCGGTCTAGGTATCTGCTAGCTACTTAGGTAGGATTTAAGTTGGATACGATGGACTACTGTTGTTAGTGGTATGTTTGGCTTGGTTAGAATTGGGATTTGAAGGACTTAGTTGTTGATTGTTGACGAGGAATGGAGGGATTAGTTAGGCAGGCTGTTCGTATGAATTTCCTACTCCGGTAAGGATAAAATCAAACTGTTATAACGGTATCTACCTATATTGATGAGATGGCGCATTGACGAGCATTTATATTGCGGGTTTGACTTTGTATGTCCTTGGCGATGATTCTCAAAAACAGGTATCGAGTAACCAGCCTGACCTTCTCAGCGAAGCGGATACATTATCCTCTCGTGACGAGGATATGGAACGTGCGAGGTACCAGTGATATTGTTGCGTAATGGGCTGCAGTGTCTAGGAGAAACTGCCTATCTATTTTGTAGCTTGTAGAGTGAATACCGCCTAGAAATATAATCTAGATAGTCTGAATATAGTATTCCACATCCTACCATCCAACACAAGTCCTACAAAAATAGAAAACCTACAAAGCCCACAACACGCAGACCTCCAAGTACACACACTACTTACTATGTATACAAAATAAGACTTCCTGACCTGTCACGCATCGCCCGTGCACACCACCCCCAATCACGAGACCTGTGTGACACGGGCCTGTCACTAACAACACAACTCAGGAGAACCCACCGCACGAGCACTAGCACCTAGTACCTAGTACATACAGGATATACTTTCCGTAGACTTTCGTGGCGTCGTGTTTCAAGCTGAGGCACGACGCCATTGGACCGACTAGGCTGCGGAGAGTTGGGTAGACTGAACAAAACTGAAGGGTAGGGATATACTTAGTACTGCTGAAGAAGATCAGCGGTGGATAAATTGTTGGAAGTTTCTTCATTTGAGTTTTGGGGTTAGGTATCGTGATAATTGGATGCTATATACGGAGTACGGAGGACTCCGTAGTGAGTAGAGAGAGATGGATGGTGGGTGGTGGATGGTGGGTGGTCTCGCAGGGACCATGTGTTAACTAGTATGCTTAGACAAATCGTATCTACTACTATGTAAGTAATAGGTAGTAGACCCGAAAATAATGGATACAAAGTAGATACTCCGTACGTTCTTAATCCTAGCAATTAGCACATAGTAACCAAATTAACTCCATACTAAGCATCTCGGTATTAGCTAATTGTACAGTACAGCATCGACCATAGTCCCCTAAACAACTACCATCTTGGCATTTTTGTATCTAGTAGTACTTCCACGAGGTTCCACGCTACCTATCTCGGGACGAGGATGAGGGCAAGGGCCCTGGTCTCAAATTCCTCTCTTAAGGTAAGCTAGTAGGCAGTAGGCTAGTAGCGGTAGCAGTAGCACTAACACTAATAAATCTATTCAGGGCGTGTTTCACCTCCCATCCCGCATTAGAATTAGATAGTAAGCCCCTGATTTACCTTGTTAGATGGGTGGATACTGGCTTCCGATGGTGAAAGGATTCTCGGTAGGGTATCTAGGCCTCAGCCACGATCGTTCCAGTGGTTAAGATGGGTTACTACTACGTAGATAGTATCATGTCAGGGCTCGTGGACACCGGGATTTCAATCAGGTGGGACTTGATTTGGGTATGGGTGGACGTGCGATTGACAGCTGCAACTACCACCCAGGGTCTGTACTCTGCGAGGCTAAGGATAAATGCTTAACCATATCCAGACAATGTAAGACATTTATTCCCTATTAATCATACTACTAGAAAGTTGATTCAGGTACGGACAGCTAGTAGCCAAATATCTATTTTAGCCACGATGGAGGAAGTTAGGAGCCTGACCGAGAGAGGGCCTGGTGAGACATGTGTGGTTTGCAATTAGGGTTCGGGTTGGGGGCTTGGATGGGAATGGATTGACGGCCGGGTGGGTGGGTGGTCTTTGTGGGGAGGGAACGGTAATTATTTCCCGTGTGTTTTACTTTCTTTATTTATTTTTAATTCTTGGTTATTTTGGCTCCTTCGGTTGATAATATATTGGTATCGAAATGAATTTTAATATAGATTTCGAGCTCAAATTAATCAAAGAATCAATTTGAGTGTTGTCTTGGCTGGAGGGATTAAAGTGCGGCGGGCTGGAAATGCAAGGTAGGAGCGAAGCCTAAGGATCCCTACTTATCGAGGCAGAGGATTCGTCATGAATCACCATCGTGACATCCCGTGCAATTTAGATAGTCCTTCCTCCTACGGAGCACAGAGATAACCATAACCAGCCTCCTTCGATCGACGCAGCCCAAGCCTCCCCTCCTCCCCTCAAAACGTGCCGATCAGACCGGGCGGGTGGACCAACTGCACTGAGACCGGGCGGACAAAGCCACGGACTATTGAGATACTGCTTGACGTCCCTCGTTCGCAGTGTACTGCTCATCCCGTGCGGCGTGCAGTGGCGCTAATTACCCGACTGCTGCTGCGCTGTTCCGACCGGTGGGGAGCACGAGATAAAATTTCCGATTTTCAGATGGTAGGAATCGCCCTCGCATATGGACCAAGGTATGACCGGATTCGAGTCACCAAGGGGTGGATTGGGATGCGAGGGTGTTCCTGAGTAAGTTATATAGCGCATTCTATGTAGAGGATCATCAGCGGTAATGCAAGGACGATCCAATGCATTCGTGCGATGAAATTAAGCATGCATCTTTGCCTTTCGAGGCTGGCCTGCCCTCGGTGTACCACCACTGATAGAACTAATAGTAGTTGTAGTATCTGTATCACTCATGACGGCATAGATCGGACGCTTCACCGTTAGGCGGTTAGCATACATTAGGACCCGACTAGAATCGACTAAAGCATGTTTAATTTGACTTGCCCATTTCCAGGGCCCCTCCGACGCCAGGATGGCGCCAAGCTCCGGCCGGGAATTGGGCGTGGCCAAACCGCTAAACGGCCTCAATATAGATGACACGGCTAGCCGGGGTGGCTGCCCACTGCAATTAAAAGACCCTGAATGCTTAATTGCGCTTCTCGGGCTCCGTGGGTACCGAACTCCCTGGCAGTGCCGCAGTAGGCACGGGGTGGCTAGTCGCCTAGCCTAGTACCTCTGGGGTCCTGACAACAATCCCAAGGTACTCGGTGGTCTGTAGTTGATACCACCTTCTATCTTGGTCCAAAAGCATGACCATCCCATCGGTATCCTGTACCTATTCCATGCTCAGTGATCATCCAGTCGACAAGGATAAAAATAACCGCACCCAATAAAGGGCGAATACGACACGCGCCTCGGTAGGATTCATTCCCATGCGCTGAGACCCATGGATCCGTCGCTGTTAACCGTTTCCACTTCCATCAGGCTTCCGGAAGATTCACCTACATTTTGACCGGCCGCCGGTTGGTTCCCTGGTCGAGGTTCGGCGCCGCTGGGCGGAGCCGATGGGGAGAGTGGAGCCTGTAGGGATTTCCTCCGGTCGACCCCGGTGATGTTCCGTGGTGAATGTGGATTAGCAGAATGCTGTCCGGAGTCCAGGGATCAGTCATCGCTGATGACCAAATGATTGTCAATCTTCCTGGCCGATACATGTGTGCCCTAAATCCTCCTTGCGAA